GTATACACATATTTGTCAGATACATTTGTAGAATTGTAGTTGCCAGGTTAGGAGTTATGTGCTTTTGAAATTTTCATTAGATATTACCTATCTTCCTTCCAAAATATGTTTTACCAATTTTCAGTTCTCACTGGCAAGCATGAAAGTACCTGTTTCCTCACTTCTGGGGTGATACTGTGAACAAACTTGTGTTCAGGTCTCGCCTTCTCCAGGAAGCCTTCTTGTACAGCCACCTCTCACTCCCATACTCCCTCCACTTGTTCACTTGCCCCACCCCAGGACACCAGTCCTTCCCAATCCCCTGGGCTCCTGCTCTGTGGCCTGTGCATACCTCTAGGACACTTCAATGTGATATGATAATTATACTGTTGGTGGTTTGAGGGAAGGGGCTGTCTTGTTACCTCTGCTTGGCTCACAGGAGGCCCTCAGGAAATGTTTGTTAGGAGAACTTCGTGAATGTTTGCTGACGTCCCCACAGTACTGGGGCTATATGCTTTCCACTGCCCTTTTCACTTTAAAATTTGAGAATTTTGTAAAGCTATAGTTAGAGGAATTTTTTTAATTTAGAAAAAATAACCAGAGATTTAATATTATATTTATAATCCCTAAATTGTTTACATTTAGAAGAATACTAGAGTTGGAGAGATTTTTTTTTAAGCATTTCATACTCAAGGCTCTAAACAGGTAGGAATGTTCCTCCCCAGCAGTATTTATTTATTCATCAAGTGGGTACTTTACTCCAGTATCTGGGGGCATTCTACAGGAGTGTCCAGTTTTAGAGAAACAGATTTCAGATGAGAGCCTTTCATTTGGCAGCATTCACGGAGCAGCATGGCACGTGAGTGGTGCTTGAGCAGAGGCCATGCTGATTCCTCCCTGCCACATGTCCCTCACACACTCACATCAGAAGAGCCTCAGGAGCTGAGTGTGTCCCCAGGGCTTTTTCAGTGGCTGGTGTGTGTGTGGGGGGTGCTTAGACATTTCCTTAAGTTCGTCAAGTGATGAAGGGAAGACAGGCCACCCCGCTTCTGAGGAGCCCCCAACTTGTGGGCACTGGGCCCATCTCTGGGAGCATGGTGAGGAACCAGCACCCTCCCGTGAGGGGCGCAGGCAGCAACTGTACCTTTAGTGTGTCATAACGTGGTTGCATGAGGAATTCTCATACTTGCCGATTTGTAAACTGTTTTCGGAAATCCAGTTGAGATCCATTTGGTTGAAATACTATCGCAGCAGCGTTGATTTCATTAATAACAAAGTTACATGTTTTCTTGGGTCACCTTGAGGGTTTTTGTCTTGCTCTCATGAGGCCCAAGCCTGACAGAGAAGCTGGCTTCGACGGGTTCTCTTTTAGGTGTTTTTTGTTTGTTTTGTTTTGTTTTCCTGCCAAATAAGGGCAACTAATTTTAATGTTAAGATTGTTTTAAATCTTGAGATGAAATTGTAGTAATAATTCTTGAACCTAGTGATGTCATGTATTCCCAAAATTCATAAAAGCTAACCAGATATTGTACCAATCAGAGTATATATAGGTTACAACAGCTGTCACAGAGAGACTTCGAGACTTGCTCAGCAAGGTTAAGATTAATTTGTGCCAGTCTCAGTGTGGGCAGGTGGACCAGAGTGGGAGGCTTCTCTGTGCCACCTGGTCATTCAGGCTCCGAGTGGTGGGCGGCTCTGCCGTCTTCAGCATGGGACCTCCAACTCTAGGTCTGTGACAGCCAACCCTTCAGCCAGCAGCAAAGGAGAAAGACAGATTGGACAGCAAGGAGCTTTCTGTTAATAATAATAATAACAATAATAGTAATAATAATAATAATACCTGGAAGTAACATACATTACTTCAGCTCACATATTATTAGCCAAAAATTGGTCATGTGGCCACACCTGGCTACCAGGAATGCAGCCATATGTTGTCTCTAGCTGAGCAGCCTTTTGTCCACCTGGAACAGGGAGACTTCCATTACTAAAACAAAGAAGGGAAGAATGGATTCTGGAATACATCAGGAGCCTGTGCCTGTCATGCTGCTTGTCCCTCTGGCACTCCAGACTCACCTGTCCAAGCTGAACTCCCTGAGTCAGCATGGGTCGCCTGCCCACCTCCAGCTGCTTCCCCCTCGTTTCTCCTGGTCGTATCTGGGGGCAACAATTCACACACGTTCTCCGTCTGACCCTGCATCTCCTTTCCCCCACCTGCCGTGGTCTAGTCTTTGTTGCCAGGTCTCTCAGTCTTCAGTCCTGCCCCCTCAAATCCATCCCTTTCTCGGCTTCCTGAATAAGCTCTTGAAAAGCAGGTCAGAGTACACGCCTTGTGCAAGCTTTGATGGCTCCACAGCCCCCAGGCCCAGGCCCAGATGGCTCCCAGCAGCTTCGGGGCCTGTGGTGATCTGGCCTCATTTTCTTTTTCCAGCTTCTTTCCCCCACTACCCAGCAAAACTAAATCTCAGATGACTTGTCATGCTCAGAGGCACCTCCAGCTCTCGGCACATGTTACTTCCCTGCACCCCAAACCTTCATCCTTTGGGCTTAGAGCTCTCCTGGCCTCAGGTCTTTCTGAGTGTGCCCATAGTGTGCGCTTTCTGTAAGTGCACCAAGGACGGCACATCTCTTGCTCTGGCACAGGAGCTCATCCACAGGGGTGGGAAGACATGCTTTATGATGACCAGCGTTGCTGGTGTATTACAATATGGCAGAGGTACAGCAGCGGTAGCAGCTACCTGCCTTTTTGCCGAGTCTGTCTCTGATCCTTTGCATTTGTAGCCCCCTTGCCAAGCCGAGCAATTCACCATGTCTGAGCACAGTCAGCTTGAGTTCTGTGCCTCTGCTGTTTGTCTCTGGCAAAACAGACCAGGGCAGAGCCACCTCTTCCAGGAAGCTTTCCTGGACTTCTGCACTCTGCCCATGGGTAAGACCTCTTTGCCTTTTGACTTTGTTAACATTTTGCTCATATCCCTGACCTCCTTGTAACTCATATTACAATAGTTAACGGATGCATTCCTCACACTTCTCCCCCAAATAGTGAACTATTAATACATGCTGCTTCTAGACTGGTTCCTAGCTCATACTACTGTACCTCCTACATTACTTGTTGCTTTCTTGTACACAGGCACCCCATAAATGTTGAATGGAATTGTCTATAAGCAAATTAATCTTTAGAAAAAGCTATTCTTTCAGATGTCAGTAAAATGGAGTAGCATTGTGAAGAAATCTGTAGATTCTATATTACAGGTGAGATCAGCAAAGGTCTACTGAATGCTCCCGCTGTCCCAGAGGCCAGGCCCTTCCTGTCCTGTCCTGTCCTGTCCTGGGGGTGTGGGATGCCCCGCTCTCCTGGAGTATAGGGCCCCTCCTCACAGCAGCGTGGCTTGGCCAGGCCATTTAGCTCACAGTGTAACAGGACTGGTCATCCTGCTGCGGTGTCAGTGTCGGTGTCGTGAGTACTGTGTTGGTTCATCTCATGTGGTGCTGGCCTCCCGGAGGCACGCTGGCTGGGGTGCATGGCTCTCAGTTGCAATGGCTGGTGGCACCAACAGCTGTTGCCCTGAGAACAGTGAAAAACATGAAGCAGTGGTCACTTGGAGAAACTATTTGATTTAAATTCTCTGTTTAGACTTATTATAATGTTTAATGGAAATCCTAGACATCATTGTGTTGAAACACAAGTCATCACTCCAAAAAACTCAGTGGATAGACATTAAATATTATATGATAGAACAAACAGGCAGGAATTTGCTGGTGGTGTAGAATAACATTTAAATTCTAAAAAACAGTATAGAACAGGGGTCGGCAAACTTTTGAGACGAAAGAGCCACTCAGCAAACTGAGGCTCGCCAGCCTCTGAAGTAAAATTGAAAATGAAAATAAAACTATCATAGTTTCATTTATAAAATTTTTTACAGGATATTCACATAATGGTGATTATGTAAAAATATATGGCTCTCGAATAATTTTTAATTGTTTTGAGGGACAGGATTGGCTCTTCTAGGGGCTGGCAAACTTTTGAGACAGAACGTACCCGAAGAGCCGCATGTGGCTCGCAAGCCACAGCTTGCGGACCCCTGGTATAGAACGTTTCCCTATATGATTTTATTGTTGGCTTTAAAATTTCTTTTTTAAAAGCCCCAATATAAATGTTCGCTGACTTTTTAGCAAACATTGTCAGACAAGAGCCTGGAAACCAGGTAAACAAGTGTAGCTGCCCGCCGATCTCCTGTGTGCTTGTTTTCTGGACCAAGTCATTCAGCCTTCTGCAGAGTGGGCATTTCAGCCTGCTGCCCAAAGCCCGGAAAGGCCGCTCGAGGCCGCGGGTTACACTCAGACCTCACGAACAAATGGCGTGGCGTCCACGTTGTCTACAGTAGGCAGCGGGCAGTTCTGCATCTGTGATGTCTGTATTGAAGCCCACTAGTGATGTCGGTGCGGGGACGCTGGCCCGCTCCACCCCCAGGAGGCAGGAGCATGCCCGTGAGCATGTGTGGCATACCCGTGAAGCCAGTCCCCAGTTGTTCATTAACTTACTCCTTTTCCATCACTTTGGCATACGACTTGCTTTCTGGTTCATTACTTTAACCTGCATTTGTGGACTTAGCAGAAGACTGGTCATTTGTTTTTCTGCAGTAACTGTAGATGTGGTTATTTGAAACAGTGCCTCCTCTCCGGTTGATTCCATAGGAAGCGAGCTGATGAGACTCATGTAACATGGGCTTGTCACTAGTAAAAATGTGCAATTTCTTTTCTCCAAAAGTGATTATTTTCTAATCCAGTCCCATAAAATGTGGTCATGCATGGCTTCAAATTTCCTTCCTTTCATAATGGTCTTGTAACACTGAAATGTCTTCGCATTTTTCTCATGCTGCTTAATTAAGTTCAGAACTTGGTCAAGCTGAGTTTATAAACTTACAGCCACATTGTCTGATATACCAATAAATTTGAAACACTGTTAAGCTAGTTCTGTGTGTATAATTTCAGTAAGAATGCATATTCATTCTGTTTTTCTTTTAAAGAATCTGATGACTGTACCAGCCTTTGGAATATTACATGACACTACATCATGAGTGACAGTAAATGTGATAGTCAGTTTTACAGTGTGCAAGTGGCAGACTCAACTTTCACTGTCCTAAAACGCTACCAGCAGTTGAAACCGATTGGCTCTGGAGCCCAAGGAATTGTTTGGTAAGTATGGTCCATTTCAATAGTGTGGATTGAGTTGTTTTTGTATTAAAAACAATAAAACTAAATCATCAGAATTTAGAAACACTGATGATGAAAATACTCTTTGTTATAGGTTTATGAGCAAAATTGAATCAACCTCTTATTCTAGTTATATGTAGTCACATTGTAGGATACAAACCCAAATCCTTAGAATGCTACATAAACTTAAATAGGTAGCAATTTTTTTTCTTTTCCATTCCCCCTGTCATTATGATAGTAGAGGAATAGGGATGACAGTGAATTGTAACAGAAATTTGGAGTTTTATTCATTTCTTCATCCTGGCCACCTGTCCCCCTCCCCCTTTTATTCCCAATCACTCCTATTCATTTCTAGGCGCTGTCATTGCTGTGCCTTGCCCTTCATTGGCAGGATGAGGCCAGTCAGTGTCATTATCACCCATGGATTAACCAGGAAGGGATGCTGTGTGAGGGGTTGGGCTGGCCGTCTCTTCCTTGGTGTTTCACTTCAACTATGTGTCCAGCCCAGGACGTCAGAACAGTTGGTCTGACCCTGAACCTTAGTCTCTTGCATGGTAAGACAGTCAGCTGCTGCGACATCACTGGCCAGCTAAAGGTAAAGTTTTCCACATATTTCCTAGAATACAGTTATCAGCACTTCCCAAACGTCTTATCTCTTAGTTTTCTGGGCAAATATTTTTTTCTTCTTTTGGTCAATAAAACAAGATTGTCTTTGCAGCTAAAAGAGACTGCATTGAAGCTGAACACCCAGTGTTTATAGCTGGTAGGCAGAGGGGGTTCAAGATGAAAGAGAACTCTTGGATGGATGTTTTGGGAGGGGAGTTTGTGTTCCTTAGAGACGTTGGGTTTAAAGACTTCACCAGTGGTTTGTAACTGCTCCTCTGTTATAGAAACATGTGATGGGGGAAGTCAGTTGGTTTCTTTGGCCTAAGTGCCTGGAGGCCCTGGGAGCTAAGAGGAGGTGGCAGTTCAGAGCTTCCTGGGCAAACTAAGGTGGGAGAAGGGTGGTTTGGAAGGAATGCACAGCTTGTGTCTCAGATAGTGGTGATCTTAACTTCCAAATGATAACACGCTTAAAGTCATAATTACAGTCGATGGACAGTTCATGTTAGGAGACTTTGATGTTAATAAAAAGTTCTGGACAATGAAATATTCTTTTGATTTAAAATCCATCTCTTATTTGGAATTGGATGATAATTTGATACAGGTAATTTGGCAATACTGCTATCAAGGACATTTAATGTAATACCCCTATTAAGAGGCTGACTGGAAGTTTATAATTAATTGTAAAACATAAGGCTGTATAAAGGGTAGGCAGTTAAAATTAATGACTTATTGTAGCATGGTAAATAAAATCACATTATGTTATAAAATACTATTTTGCAGAGATTTGTTTTGATCTGTAGCTTGCATATGCTACTTCTCTTTATTTTTTAAAGAAATGTTTAATAATGAAATTGTTCATTATGGATGTATATTTCTCATTTTAAAATTCTACTTTTGAAGTAAAAGTTCCTAATATGCCATTATAGACAACCTCCTCTGGTAAAAACAGTGGTAGAATTATAGGAAGGAAAGTTCTGAAGTTTAATAAAAAAAAAATTAAAAAACTGAAGAGTCCAGAAATAAACTCATACATATATGGCCAGCTGATTTTAAAAAAATGGTGCCGAGGTTATTCAATGGGGAAAGAACAGTCTTTTCAAGAAATGGTGCTGGACAAGCAAAAACTCATAGACACAGACAACAGTTTAGTGGTTACCAGAGGGTAAGGAGGAGGGGCGTGGTAGAAGAGGGTAAAGGGGGTCAAATATATGGGGACGGAAGACTTGACTTTGGGAGTTGATATATAGATGACATATATATCATCTATATCAATGCAACATGTAGACGATGCATTATAGAATTGTATACTTGAAACCTATATAATTGTATTAACTAATGTAACCCCAATATATTTAATAAAAAAAAGAAAAGAGAGAATTGTGTTGGGATGACTGAATATCCACATGCAAAAGAGTGAAGTTGGACTCCTACCTCATATTGTGTAAGAAGTTAACTCAAAATGGGTCAATAACCTAAACATAAGAGCTAAAACCATAAAACTCTTATAAGAAAACAGGAGGAAAGCTTCATGACTTTGGATCCTTAGAAATGGCACCAAAAGCTTGAGCAACAAAAGAAAAAAATTGGACTTCATCAAATTGTGCATTAAAGGATACTATCAAGAGAGTGAAAAAACCTACAAAATGGGAGAATATTTGCAAATAATATATCTGGCAAGTATCCAGAATATATAAAGAACTCATATAGCTCAACAACAAAAAGAAAAAATTTTTTAAAAACAAAGGATTTCTATAGATGTTTCCCCAAAGAAGATACACAAATGGCCAATAAGCACATTAAAAAAAGATGCTCAGCATTAGTCCTTTGAGAATGTAAATCAAAACCACAATGAGATACCACTTCCCACTCACTAGGATAACCATAATGAAAACCAAAAATGACAAATGTAGACAAGAATGTGAAAAAATGAGAACCATTGTACATTGCTGGTGAGAATGTAAAATGGCAAAGCCACTTGTGGAAAGCATTTTGATGGTTCCTAACAAGTTAAACATAGAATTACATATGACCCATTAAATACTCTTAAATATATACCCCAAAGAATTAAAAACAGATGTTCAAACGAGTACTTGTACACAAATATTTCTAGCAGCACTATTTGCAATAGGCAAAAGGCGGAAACAGCTGATGGCCATCAGTGGGTGAATGGACACACCAAGTGTGTAATATACATACATGGAATATTACTCATCAAAAGGAGTGAAGCACTGACACAGGCTCCAACATGGATGATCCTCAAAAGCATTATGCTGAGTGAAAGAAGCCAGACACGAAAGGTAATCTGTGAGTCCATTTATGTGAAATACCTAAAGAAGATAAATCCAGAGAGACAGATTGGTGGTTAACAGGCCAGGGAGGAGGGGTACGGGGGTCAACTGCCTAATGGGTCTGGGGTTTCCTCTAGGGGTGATGAAAATCTTTTGGAATTATGTAGATATGGTGACTGCACAATGTTGTAAATGCACTGAGTGCCACTGAATTGTTCACTTTAAAATGGTTATTATGTTTAGGTGAATCTCACCTCAATAAAAAGTGTTTAGAAAAAAGTAAACTGGAAGGTGCCTTAAACTAAGGATATTGTCATTTTTAATGGTAATTTAACTCCTAATACTATAGTATTGTATATAATGATATTTTTATGTTATGTTATATATAAAATATGTTGTAATTTTCTTGTAGCTTAAGTTATATATTGACAGAATCTTAACAGTAACGTCACTGAACTCTTAATATTTTCATTTAAATGATTTTATGACAATTTTATTAATAAAATAGGAACAGCTTTCATCTCCCATACAGAAAGGTAGGAAGAAGTATGTAGAAGCTAAAATTCGAACACCATCCTAAATCTCCTCTCTTGCAAACCCTCATTTCCATAGCCTGAGTTTTGATTCTAAGGAGAGGTCAAAAACTGGGGTTTGCTCTTTTCTTCTCAAGGAAGAAGTCATTACTTTGAATTGATTCAGGCAGCTCCTCCTGAGCCCATGTATGGCTCATGGTCATGATCTCTGAGGTCACTAATTCACTTAACTTTGTAAGCCAAGCCAGCTATTCATTACCAAAGGCAAACCTTTTTGTTTGGTTAACTTTACTGGATCCATGGAAAAGGGGTTAGTTAGCTAACTTGATTCAGATTATTGAGGTTTCCTTTTAGAAATGTTTGTACAATTATGAACATTAATCTCAGACTCCTGGAATGTTTCATCTTTTGGCCTTTAGATCAAGTAGCACCAGAGGAGTTGGTCCTAGATGGGTGGAGACCTGGTCTCCATGATTATATTATTGCTACTTTCTCCTAGGGCCTGTGCCGGCTAGGGAGCTGGCTGGCTGCCCCTTGCCTGCCCTCCGGGCTGAGGCTTTGTGGGCCCACTGAGCTGTAGCAGTGGTGGTGCTGGAAGTGGCAGTGCTTGGGTTCCTGGGAGAGAAACCTTCCCCATGGTGCTCCCCCACATGTCTTCTGAGGATTTTTTCTGGTTCTGTTTTGCATATCATCTTGGATAGTATTAGCATTACGCTGTAAGGTCCTCAAAAGAAAAATGTTCTGTGCATGATGCCAGGAGAGAGTCTATGACCTTGTCCTGTTGTTGCAATAGAGCAAAAACTTGTGCCAGTCACACCCCTTTCTTCCCCATCAGTGACAGAGGGCCTGAATGTCCCCACCATCAAGCCCTAAGTTCCGAATAACCTATTATCTCCAGTGATCCCTTCCTGGCAGATATGGCAGGTTCTTCTGACACCCATTACTTGTGTCCCCACTGTATCTCCTGGTTGGATTTTCCTCTGAACCCCCTGGCCGATTGAGATACCATCCTTGGTCTTTCAATACTTACCTGTGACATGTCCCCCAGATAATCTCAGCTCATGCTGAGAACAGTCTCCTCTCGGATTGATCCAAATGCTTGCAAGGTGTTCCCTCTCCCTCTCCCTCTCCCTCTCCCTCTCCCCCTCCCCCTCTCTCTCTTTCTCTTTCTCTCTCTCACACAAAAACACCCCAGAACTGTAAGCCAATAAATGAGTTTCGAATGAGTCAATTTGTGGTAATCTGTTACAGCAACAATAGGAGAGTAATGCAGGAGATGTGTGTTTTTACATTTTTGAGAAATAAAATGTAGTAATTAGCAATAGTACAAGATTTACAAAACTTGTTAATCATCTATTTAAGCTTTACAAAGACATAGGGACAGGTGTGCAGGTAAACCAAGGTGCAGGGACTGATACAGGATTAAATGGAAGAGCTGGGATCAGAATACAGCATTTTGACAGTTTTATTTATTTCTGTGTTTTTGTTGTTCATTAAAAATGTTAGTAAAATGTTTTATCATTTTGAATTATTCATAAACATTGGAAATCATGTA